AAAGGAAGAAAGCAAAAGAGCAAAAGAAGCAGAAGAAGGGAGAGAATAAAGAGAAGATAAAGAGAGGATAGCAACGAAAGAAATAAGAAGAGCAAAGATGAAAGAAGCGAATGAACGAGATGAGCATAGGAAGAACATAGAGAGAAGCGATAGAGAAAAAACAAAAAAAGAAAGGAAGAGAGGCAAGGAGAAGAAGAAGCGAAAAAGAGACAAAGGAGAGCAGAGATAGAAGCAAAGAGACAGAGGAAACAAAAAGAGAAGGCCAAAGAAAGGAAGAAGCAGGAAGAGGGAACAGAAGTAGAAGAGGAGAGAAAAAAAGATAAAGAAAGACGGAAAAAAAAGAGAAGAGCAGAGAAAGAAAACGAGAAGCATAGAAGGAACATAGGAACAATGAGCAGAAAAAAGGAAGGAAGGAGAGAGAAGAAAGAGAAGCAAGAAGAAAGAGAAGCAAGAAACAAATCAAAAAGAAAAGACAAAAGGAAGCAAAAAGGAGGAGAAAGCAAAGAAAAGAGACCAGGAGAAGAAGCAAAAAGAGAGGAAGGGACAGAGAGAGAGCAAAGAGAGAGAAGCAAAAAAAGAGCAAAAAAAGGAGACAGAACAAGCGGGAAGAGAAGCAAAAGGAAAGAACGAAAAGCAAATAGAAAGCAGGGGAGAGCAAAAGACAGGAGAAGTCAAGAGAAGAAAAGCAATAAAAGAAAGAGAGCGAAAAAACAAAAGAAGAAACAAAAAAGAGAGAAGGGAAGCAAGAAGAAAAGCATAGAAGAGGCAATAGAGAAGACAAAAAGGAAAGAGAAAGAAAGCAAAGGAGACAAAGAGGAAAGCCACAAGAGAGAAGGCAAAAGAAGAGAGAAGAAAGAAGCGAAAGCAAAGGAAGAAAGCAAGAGAGAAGCAGAGAGAGAGCAGAGACATCGAGAGAAAAGACAAATCAGCATGAACGAAGACTAGAATAGAAGAGCAAAAGGAGGAAGCAAAAGACGAAGCGAAAGAAGACGCAAGGGAAGAGCGAAGAGCACAGCTGTTCGGCGCGCCGAAAGGGAGTCTGCTGAGCCTCCGATAGAGAAGTGCGCTTCTGCGGCGAAGACGAGCGTGGCGCGCGAGGCGAAGGTGGCGGTGAAGTGAGGGTTGCGGCGTTGCCACGCCCGCCCAGCAGAGCTGCGGTTGTCTGCACTGTACTGCGGCCGGGTCACATGCGCCGAAGCCGCGCTGCGGCACGGCGTGCTCCGCCGGCCCTTGCCCATGCTGTGTACCTGTTTCAAAGACGAACACCCGGACGCATTAGTGAGGTACTTCGCGCCGGATCAGATTTACTAGTGTCGGGTGTGACCGCGCCATGTCGAGTGGCAGACGTTTCGGTGATTCTGGAACTGCTGATACCCTGAGCTAGAAGCAGCTTGGTGTGATCAGTGTAAAGAAGCCAGCGGATTCTATAGAGGTAGTTGGGAGTGAATGGGGAGCAGCTGGTTCGCTGAGCAATTATGACCGCCTTCAGCATGCTTCAGCATTTGAGTAACGTACACCCACTTGTCTCACAGCATTAAATGAAGTTTTTCAAGTTTTCAGGTTGTTGATAGTGGAGGACATTAAGAACGTTTTTTAGGAATTACTTACAATGTGGGGAGATGGCGAGAGCTGGTCGCTGAAGGAAGTAATATGACGCTGCAGAATTACTTACAGCGATTGTGTTGGAGAGACGCAGCGACATGATAATCGAAGCAATTAAATTACAGTTTTTGTATTACTTCAAGCGTGTATTTAAGTATTCGGAGGGACAATTAGACTTTTTTCGGATACTTGCTGTGGGAGTATGGATGATATGAGGAGAGGCAATTAAATAACAGGTTTTTCGGATTATTAAAGTTATTGAGTAGGATGGGCGAGAGAGCTGGCGCTTGCCTTATGAACGTATGCAGCATTATTATAGCGTTATTTGTGTTGGAGTAGACACTCAGCGCACTTGTTCGATAGCAATTACTACATTTTCGTTACTACCAGGTGTAGTTGACGTAGTGTGAGAGGGGCATTAAATACAGTTTCGCTCTCAGCTGTAGTTGGGTAATGGTGCGAGAACTGGGTCAGCTGAGCATTTAAAATGACCGCTTGCAGCACTACATCGTTTTTGGAGAGTTACGCGACTTGGCCGATCGACAATTATTAGTTTAATTATTACAAGCGTGTAGTTTGGGTAGTTCGGAGGAGAGCAATTAAGGAAGTTTTTCAGGAATTACTTACAAGCGATCTGGCTAGTTGGGTAGTTGGGAGGGGTGGCTATTAAATACATTTCGCGATACTTACAAGCTGTAGTTGGAGTAGTAATGCGAAGAGAAGTGGTCGCTGGCATGAGCTTAATGAACGCTTCATGCTTACTTACAAGCGTTACTTGTGAGTAACGTACAGCGACTTGTATCGAAGCAATTAATTACAGTTTTTTCAGATTCTCAGCGGTGTTGGAGTAGTGGGGAAGAGTGGCATTAAATGAACATTTTCAGGATTACTTACAGCGTGTAGTTGGGTAGTTGGAGGAGAGCATTATAATGAACAGTTTTCTTAGGATTACTTACACGTTATTGGAGTAGATGGGCGAGAAAAGTGGTCGCTGGGCAATAATGACCAGCCTTGAGCAACCTTAGCTTACCTAAGGGTGTTGGAGTAGGACTTACAACGCACTTGGTCATCATGCAATTAAATGAACAGTTTTTCAGAGTTACTTACAGCGTGAGTTGGGAGTAGTTGGGAGAGCATTAATGAACATTTTTTCAATGTTACAACGTGTGTTTGTGGGTAGTGGGAGGAGGCATTATTGACAGTTTTTCGATTACTTACAGCTGTGTTGAGTAATGGGCGAAGAAGCTGGTCGGTGAGGCAATTAAATGACGCTTCAGCATTATTCACAAGCGTGGTAGTTGGGAGAGAACTACAACCACTTGGTCATCGAAGCAATTAAAATTGAAGTTTTCAGGATACCATTTTTAGCTAGCGGTCAGCGTGTGCTCAGCCGGTTCAGGACCCGTTGAGAGCTGGGGCGACGATGCGCTGGTACTCTCGCGCACCGCACGCCCGATCTGTTTCTCCGAGCCGTGGCCGACGGTAAGCGTCGCAGCACTTCGTGCTGGCGGCAGCGGCTCGCGTCTCCCGTCGCTCCTGCATGCTTGCCGACGCATTCGACCCTACCGCCCCGCACACTTCTTGCGCGTCACGTGACCTACGTCACCGCGCTCCTAAAGATATCACGAATTTGATCATTACATTGTGTGCGGTTACAATCACATGTTTGTAGTTGTATTTATTTGTTGTTCAGTTATGAGAAAAGACGGTTGGGAAAAAAAGTGCAAAGGTAATCCACAATTGGAGAGGCTTTTTTGATATTAATATTTTTTTTAAATGTTGTAGTTTTTTAATTTTTTTTGTAATGTTTTTTTATTTATTTTGTTATATTGTTAAGTTGTATGTATGTAGTATACTAAGTTTTTTTTACTTGATGCCTGAGATTCACGATTTTCGAGAGTCATATGTTGCATGGGCGCTACGGTGCAGTTGGTCATATTTGGTAGAGTCTATGATAATTGTAATGAAAAGTTTAAGAATACTGGTGTATTGCGTAGGCAGTGGAACGGTGTCCGTATATGTAGACGGGGATTTGATATGTTTCTTGGGGAAAGAACAGCCCAGATGTCAGGAGCAAGGCATTGTGTGGAACTTTGTTAGGGCTGTGAATAATAAACTACTCGTGGTTTAAGGGGCGAAGAGCAAGAAGTCTTGAGGTGTGATCGATATAAATGACGTCTATTGCTGAGAATATCGGATAAATATTTGATTAACTCTTGGAATAAAAGATGATGTTCGAGCAACTATCGTGAGAGAATTTTTCGCTGGATGAATGTGCAATCTGCGGCCGAAGTGCTACGTCTGAACTGATTGAAGCCGTTTTGGAATGCATCCAATTTTGATTCGATTATCACATGATTAGAGAATTATTTATATAAATGAAGATGGTTGATTATATCTTCAAGAGTCACGAATGCCCCTATTTGAGAAAAAGACGGAGTGTGACCTTTTTGTCTTGAGGGTGCGATCTATTAGGTAATATGAGAGCATTAGTGAGAAACTGCAATGAACACGCTCTTATCCTATCGAATTGTTTTATTCAAAAAGAGTGTTCTGAAAAGAACCGACATACAATACTGAGAAAGAGTTTCTTGAGAAAATCAACGATATTTGAAGATATTTCATGTTACTCTACCAGACAAAACAAATGTTTCGTTACTAATTCCCGTATCGTTCTAGTTTGTGCAGTGACAGGTTGCTGCACACCCTGAATCAACCATTTAAGCCATCTAACACGGTTCCTTTATGAGCTTTCGGCACTTCGCTATCTACGATGACAATGCAGCTCGTGGGTCTACATTGGAAATCGCTGGATTAAAGAAGATTGACAATGTACAGTATTTTCACTCGGGTAGCCCAGGAGCTGATGCGATCTTTTCGTGACACTCCTGAATTATCATAACAAGAGTTAACCACATTACGTCAAGCACTTCGTCACAACGAATATTGTCACCGGGAGAAAATTTACGTGGCTGTTTTGAGTGATTAACTCTCCTGGCGCAACGTTTGTATTTCCTTCCTTTGAAACGCTTTCAAAGAAATCAAAAGCTCACTGATTCGAACGACGCCAAATTAACAATTGTGTTGGTACAATGTCGCGCCAACAGATATAGAAAAGGATAGAAAGCATATAGATAGCACTTGGTCATCGAAGCAATTAAATGAACAGTTTTTCAGGATTACTTACAAGCGTGTAGTTGGAGTAGATGGGCGAGAGCAGCTGGTCGTCGAAGCAGGCAGCCACGAGCTCCAGGAAGCCCGTGAGGAGGCGGAAGCCGATGCGCATGCGTACTCCTCGTGCGCCCGCGCCGCAGCGCCGCTTGCCGTCCTTCTCGGCCGTGCGCTCGGCGTGGCGTAAGCACTGCACCGTGCGCAAGTCGACCTCCTCACCGCGCACCGTCACCACGCTATCCCTTGCGCACGTCACGTTCACCTACGATCACCCGACGCTCCTCAACAGATAATCACGACTTTGATCATTACATTGTGGCAGGTTACAATCACATGGTTGATAAGTTGGTAGTTTATTGTTGTCAGTGGAGGAGAAAAGACGGTTTGAGAAAAAAGTGCCAAAGGTGATCCACAAACAGGGAGGCTATTTTTTAGATGTGTAATAGTTTTTTTACCTTGATGCTGAGATTCACGATTTCGAGAAGTCACTGATGGTTGGCATGGCGCTACGTGAACACGTTGGTGCATTTTGCGTAGAGTCTGTGATTAATGATAATGAAGTATTAAGAATCTGGTAGGTATTGCGTGCAGTGGAAACGGTGTCCGTCGTATATGAGACGTAGGGATTTGATATGTTTCTCTGGGGAAAGAAGAGGCAGCCCAGTGTCCAGAGGCAGCAAAGTGTGTTGGAACTTTGTAGAGCTGTGAATAATAAACTACTCGTGTTTGAGAGGAAGGGAAGAGGACAAGGAAGTTCTGAGTGTGATGATATAAATTGACGTCTCATTGTGAGAATATCGATAAATATTTGATTGTAACTCTGGGATAAAAGATATGTTCGGAAGGCAAAACTGCTATCGATGAGAGAATGTTTTTGCGCTGAGTGGAAATAGTGAATCTGGCGGCGAGTGCTACCTGTCTGAATCCTGAGAGCCGTTTTGGGAATCCTATCCGATTATTGATGAGTTATCAATGATTAGGAATTTATTTAAATATAAATAGAAGAAGTGGTTTATATCTTCAAAGAGTACGAAATTGCCCTCTTTGGAGAAAAGAAGAGAGTGTGATTGTGTTGAGGGTGCGAAATACTATTAGGTAAGTTAGGAGAGCAATTAGGAGAAACTGCAATGAAACATCGCCTCTTCTATCGATAGTTTTTTATCAAACAAGAGTGTTCTGGAAAAGAAACGACATACAATAGAAAAAGATGTTTCTTGGAGAAAGAATCAACGAATATTGAAGATATCATCATGGTTACCTCTATCCAGACAAAATCAAATGTTTCGTTACTAATTTCGTCGTTCTTTATTGTATATTAGGCTGCAGTAAGGTTGCCTGGCACACCCTGGATCGAACCTTGAAAGCATCCAATACGTTTTTACTGAGCTTTTGGCACTTCGCTTCTGGTGACAATGCGAGCTCGTGGCGTCTACAATGGAAATCGCTGGACTCCAAGACGATTGACAATGGTACGAGTATTTTGACTCGGGGTAGCCCAGGAGCTGATGCGATCTTTCGGTGACGCTCTGAATTAACATAAAACAGTTTACGTAACAATCTACGTAAAGCAACTTTGTACGAACGAAGTGAGTATTTGGTCAACCGGGAAGAAATTTGCGCGGCTGTTTTTGAGTAGAATTAACTCTCCTGAGCGCAAACGTTGTATGTTCCTGTTCTTTGAACCGCTTTCAAAGAACATCAAAAGTGCTCTATTCGAAACGAGGCGCCAAATTTGAAACAATTTAGCTGTCAATGTCCCAACAGATGTCAAGTAATGGGTGTTGGAACTTTGTTCTGCAATGATTGATAAACTACTCGTATTTTAGTATGGCAGGTAGGGAACATTTCAAAGTGATGATGCGAGTTAATTTCTAATTAGTAGGCGAGTGTTTAGGGAATGGGCTGAAGTAGGTGATCTAGGTGCGCGAGATACTTGTCTAAAGTCCGTGGTGCATTTCGCGAAGAAGCAAGTGATTGGTGATGGTAGAGTATCAAGTATCCGGATGCTATTTAATTGCAGTGGAAGTGGTATCTTAAATAAGACACACATATTTGATTGCCTGATCTCGGCTCTGATTGCGCGCATTGTGTAGTAATAGCGATCGAGTGTATTGGCGCTGGGGCAAAATAGAGCCGCTGCCGGCGAGTGCTACCTGTCGGTATCCCGAGGTGCGCTTGGCGAAGAGGAGCTGGTTGCCGGGGCCGGGGCAGGCCAGCAGAAGCGAGGCATTGGTCGACAGGCGCACCACGTGATCCGCGTCTGGCGCCGCGAAGCCGGATACGTTGAGAGGCCCGCCAGGGCGCAGCAGCAGCGGCGGACGCTCCGACAGCTGTTTCAGGGGGACGCTGGGGAAATTCAATGTTACGGTGTTACATTTTTATTTTGGGTACTCCAAAGCAAGGTTTATACGAGCTGTTTGGCAACTACAGCAATGTAGATGTAATATAAGCCTGTATTGATCAACAATTTTTCTATTAAACGCTGTAACAAAGGAGGGTCAAAAAATGATCACCATCAACATTACGTTATAACATTTACTAGTTGAATGTAGGGTCGCTGACGCTGTAAATTGTTTTAAAAATATCTTCATGTATTGATAATTTATTTCATACGTAGATTTGTTCAAATATGTTTTTACAGTATCTGGCATTGGATTTACCAATAGATCGTAGTAGCTGATAATGTTATTCTCCCCTTCAAACATTCCCAACCCCCAATAGCCTTATGTGTTACTTCCATATAGAATATTACTGGTAATATTGAATTTCAAAATTACAATCTCCCTGAAATATCCTTGTAGGTATTGATGGTGCGAATATAGTTCAGTAGAGCTACATTTTTTTAAGAATTTTGCTAATACGCATAATAGTCGACAAAGATCACCTGTAAGCTGTTCTGTTTTTTCTTCTAATTTTAATAAAATATCATTCTCGGTTAGTTACGAAACTTCTGTCGCAAAATCTTCTACAACGTCGTTTGATTCTTTTCGAGATTTGGATAACACTTCCCCTATCACTGTCCGCTGATTTTTGAAGACATTAAAACTCCACAATCTCAGTCTAATTTGTGTTATCTTCAAATTCTGCAATTGCTCTATTAATCGTTTTGTATACGAATCTAAATAAACATTAAACTATTTTTGATATTTATATGAATAAGTTGTTAGTTAAATATCATAAAAATAAGTCGTGAATCACATTACTTTAAAAATTGGCATTTGTGCTCTAAGGAACGTAAAATGAGAAGTCGAACTTACGACGTTCATTCATTCTTTTAACATAACTCACAGTTTGTTCACTTCACTTATTGACTTCAAATTCTTCAAAATTCTAAGACAATATTGTTCGTAGCTTTTTGCAATTTTATTAATAATAGGTTATGGGCCAACGGATAAAAATTAAAGTGAAATATGCCGCAAAATTCATTTGTTCAAATTAATTTCCCTAGTTCACGTAAAAATGTCAACATCAGTTTGCAACGTCTTGAAAGGAAATTTTGGTGTAAAGAACAAAAAATGTCTTCGGATACTGATGTATCATCAACGTCACCTACATAGATCTATTTAGGTAGCGTTAGTTCAATTCCAGACGCACTCACTAAAATCACTGCGCCAAAACCCGCAAACACATGTTCTTGGAAATTTCTTAGAAATGCTGACCTCATTAAAAAAATGTTTTCCCTATCAAGAGACGTAGATGCGTGGAATGACCTCCTGTCTCCATTGGTGGACAGGCAGTGGTCTAGCTGCGAGAGACGGAACCACACCTTACGCACTCACGCATACCCGAGAAGTTACTCAAACACTGTACAGAGATTTACAAAAAGGTTTTGATTTGTATCTTCATTTGCACTTGCACTTAAAATACTGATTCAATTTTCACCCTCATTCACTTCAAAATTATCTTTTAATTCATAATAATTATTGCATTCTTATTCCTACTTAATCATTTTGTTTCTGAATCCTGCTATGAGGAAAGTCTTATAAAAAGTTCTTTTTGAAATATTTTACCATCTCCGGCAATGGAAAATAAATTCGATTTGTAAAATAGGCATCATTTTTGAGGAATAATTGTTATCAATGAAATTTTTTGGTTACAAATTGGACATTGGGAGTGTAATTTAGAGTCCATCTTATGTTTCTGATTTCATAATTTTGTTGTGATAGTTACTGAGTTTGCAGTAATTATGGAACCATAAAATTCATTCTATTTCTCACATAAAATTAGAATATAGCCGTTTTAATTGCATTACTTCAATTTTCATGAGATTTAAAAAAATGTGTGGATACAAAAATGACCCTCTCGTGGTCAATGTAGGTTTACTATTAAAAATTTATAATGTTGTATTTTGAAACATTTTCGGGTCTTACTCTATCAACATCAATGGTGTAATCAAACAATGCACCTTCAATATTTAAGGAGGCCTGTCAAATTAATAATTTACAGGACAGTTGTGAATTTATGATCCAGTTTTTAATATTTTTTACATTTTAAACAATGTCGTTTTTGAGACCGTTATGTTCGCCCAAGTCCAGTTTGAAAAAAATATTATTTCAGAAAGAATTTCCTGCTAGACTTTACTAGATTTGTTATGGTATATTCGTGCACGCTGATGAGCTTTGTAAAATTCTGCGTGTTTAAATTGGGGGCCACAAGGAAAATAAGAGTTTAACCCAGATGTAAATTGGGGACCGACTCTGAGAAGCGCATATGTAAGTTAGAGACCGACTACCTCATCCCCTTCCAGGTAAAAGTGGAAGGTGACAGTTTCAAAAAACATTTTCATAGCCATTTTTTAAACTTTCTAATTTTCTAGACTTAGGACTGGCCTTTTTCTTTCGATATATGATTTAGTTTAAGTTGTTTTCATTCAATTGAATCACGGATTGAATGAATTCTGCATCTCTTGCGATTTTTATATTAGTCCTTGTTGTCAGATAATATTGATTAACGCTGAACATGAAATTTGGACCCGCTTTTAGAGCTATCTTTGCTTTTCATTTTGATGCAGGTGCTAGTCTGGAAGATTTTTAAAGCACAAGGAAAAACTGGACAGGAGCGCAGAGTCGTCGGCCTCTTAACGCACTTCCCTGATCAATCAGTCCTTTTCCTTCCCTGGGTTTGATTCCCAATTTACATGTAGAATTAGAAAGCAAGATTCAAGACAAAAGGGCGAAAGGATTATTTGGTCCCTAATTTGCGTACTGACGTATTCCCCCCCCCTTTGTTTTAATAGAATGTGTTTGATTCCTGCACATTTTGCTTCCTTGGCAACATTCTATCTCTTTGATATTATTGGTAATTTGTTTCAATCGTGTGGAAACATGTTCAAGCGTGATGAAATCACCACATCAAAATAAAGAAAACCTCTTTGTGTTTTAATGCAGATGCCACTACGACACATGACGTAGTACAATGAAGCGTGTTTCAACTCGTCAGTTGAATTTTATCACTGACTGTAAATATAATTCGTTTATTCATAGCTGTAGTACTAACATAAACATTACAGATAAATGGAAGTTATTGAGAAATATTATTTCATTTAAGACAACATTGTAGACATGATTTCAGAGAAGATGATAAGATAATTCAGTTAAGTCTGGACTGGAACATGTCATTTAGATTCGCAAGCTGTACAATATGACGGTTCTTCTGCAGGGCATACAAGAAATGCACTTCGTTTACATTAAAATTTTTGAAACAATTACTAATTTTCACTTGTCACTAGACGTAGTGCAAATAACTGAACCGCTATAAGTTTATAAATAGCCACGATAGCCCAAATTTATAACCAACCAAGTTTTATTGTGATATCGGTCGTTTGACATTCTATATTTAATATTACCACCTTCAGATAAAAAAACATTTAAATAAGAAATACTTTTTCTGTAAATCGAAGTATTCGTGCGTAACCTTCACTGACAACCCGTTCGTTTGATTGTACTTAACGGATAATGAATTCTTACCAAGTCGTTAAGAATGTGGTATCTTATCTGTTTAGTTGCGTTAAATCAATGCAACAGCGCACTATTATGAACTGGTTATTAACGGACTGTTACAGAGGAAATAAGTGACGAAGTTGAAGTTGGTTCAACAAATGAGATTATTCAGAGACAGAAAAATTAAAATGTACAAGATTGTGAAATTTACTGAAGTTCCTAGTATTGGCAATGAAACGCTCTGGCGATGTGCCGTTCGTGTAGTTTACTGGAAAGTGAGAAAGCAAGTGCTCCCATTTGAATGCACAGCGGCAACGCTGCGACACATGGCACGGCGTCGAGCGGCACAGCGGCAGCGGCAAGGTACAAACTGTAAAGAGCTAGCAGCAAGGTGCAAACGCTAAGGCGGGAGCGGCAAGGCATGCAAGTGGAAGCGACAAGGCACTAGCGGCAAGGTGGAAGCGAAAAAGCGCAAGTGGTATGGCGCATGCGACAAGGCGCAAACGGCAAGGCTCAAGTGGCAAGGCGGAAGCGGCCCAACAGAAGAATCACGGCGCGAGTGATAAAGTGTGATTGATAAAGTGAATGAGAGAAATGCTCAGACATCCTGCCATGCGTATAGTGGGAAGGGAAAAACACAGTTTCTCATGAGAAGAAAGAACTGCTAGTTGCAAATAGCGAGGAACTAGCAGCAAAATGTGTTCGGAAATAAGCGAGGCGCTTCCGGCAGGAAATAAGCGAGGCGCAACAGCAAAGTGTAACGGCAAGGTGTAACGGCATTGTGTAACGGCAAGGCGTAACGGCTCGGCGCAACGGCTAGGCGCACCGGCAAGGCGCAACGGCAAGGCGCAAAGGCAAGGTGTAACGGCAAGGCTCAACCGCAAGGCGCAACGGCATGGCACACAGGACCATAGGGTCTCTGAACATTTTTAAAGGGACCCTGTAGCCTTTCGTATTAAAACTTTTAAATAACGTAAATATATTTAATCCCTTCGTTAACAAATTTGGAAATTTTTTATGAAATGTTTTAAAAATGCTCTCTAACCATCTGTCATCACTGAAAAAGTGACATCATGAAATAAACTGTATTTATTAATTGTAAAATTAATGTTAAAATTTCTTTACGAGTATTTTTATAGTATGATTTATTTATTTAGTAGGAAGATATATCATTTACGTAAATAAAAAATTAATGAAAAAGGGGGCCCAGACGTAGAATTGCCTCCCCCTCTAAACTTAGACTGCTCACGCCTATGTCCGCTGGGCACCACACGAGCAAAAACACACACGGGTTACACGCACCTGCAGTCGGCGGTTGCAACGCCCGCGCAGCCCAGCAGGAACAGCAGCGCCAGGACGGTCGCGCTGGCGGGCAAGCCCAGCGGCGGAGATCCCATAGCGTCCGACTGCGACCGTTGTCCGCTTGACTGCGCTCCGCCGCTGCCACTTCCGGGGACCTCGTCTCGTCCCCTCCCTCTCCTCCCGCCGACACCGTCCTCACCACTCAGCCCCCCCCCCTCGTCGCGCTCCGCTCGCCTGCCTCTTTGAGGCAGCCGTTTAGCGGCGAGGGGGCGTGCCTCACGCCGCATTCACACCGCTGCTTTATTCCTACGAACGAACTATTACGAGCTCAATAATATCTCGGACAATAATATGAAGAACAACAATGGAACGTCGCCAATGATGCAGGTCTGAAGCGTACGGTGGATAAGCTATTTATAAACAGTTGTTGATCTATTGAAATATGTTTTGATTGTTATTGATTTTATTAAAGAAGTAAATGAATAAAATTCACTTTTCATATAAATTTCAAATTATGCAAGATATTTTTTGTACAATAGTTTAAAAAGTAGAACCATTCGATAATCGATCCAAATGAACCAAAAGAATAGTAGGATTGTAGATTCAATTATACATGCCATTTCTTAAATGTGCATTGTTTGTTCTGCATTTATACTCTGAACATTTAAAACTCTAGATTTTTTTTGTAAGTTGCGTAATTTTTATTCTGGTACGAGTTCATGTAGACAAATATATTTTGTTTTAAGTTTCGGTTCTCCTGATAACATGTCTACATCGAGCTCATTCTTAAAGCTGCTAGATTGAGCAAGCAAAAAAACTAGTTGCGCGCGTCACGAGGTCAAGTGACAGGTCGCAGTGCGGTGCACAACCAAATGTGCTGACGTTTCAGAGGTCAGCTTCACGCTACGGCACTACTCTCTCCTCGGCATCTGCCTCTTGCAACGGAGAAATTGCATTATTTTTTGCAAATACTTGTGAGTACTTTATTTTTTCATTATATCTAATGTTTAGAAACATTCTTAAGATACAACAAAAGTAAGTATAATCGAAAAATAATGATACTTTATAAAACTATATATTGTTTGATTTAAAATATAAAATTAAATCAATTAATGAATGAACTTTAAAAATATATTGTTAGTCAGAATATTCATGATCACTAAAAAAATAAACACTGCTTGCTGTGCCACTTGACTGAGACCAGAAACTCCCAACGTGCACCATAGGCTGTAACGTGTTTGTTAATTCTCAACAAAACTACAACTATTCAAATGGTCGTACAATACTTCAACAATAAGTGAGCGAAGTGTGGAATAAATTATTATTAATTCATGTTCTCTAAAAAAATATTATCTTTGTTTTAAAATGTGTCCTCTTTTAACGTCCACTTAGTCCTTTCTTCTAGGTTTCCTTTCATTAATTTTGTAAATGTGTCTTGTAGATAAAGCTTTATCTTCTGTAAATATTTCATTAGCTGTAAATACTTTATGTTGTTCTGTATGAGCTTCATGTACAATACCTTCAAATATTTAAAGACCAGTTTCAAATTCCAGGGGACGCAAAACTAACCATATCTATCAAGAAAAATACAATTTTGCAAAATTCATCATGGTGATAATGCTGAGTTCGGGTTAGGCACTAATGTTGCTCACTGATGGATAGGTTTCGAATCAAAACTATAGTGACAGAGAGTATCGGAAAGTATTTCAGTCAACTTTCGGGATCAATTTGATGAAAAATTACTATATTTTCTCTATATTTCATTGTCAAAAAAGTAAAAACATTATGAATTGCCAAAAGATTTGCCTAGAAGGTTGCACATTAATACAAATTTTCTGGTCTGTCATTTGCATTACAAATTATAATTATTTTTAAATTCCTAGCTCTAATTATAATTAGAGTTAGGAATTTTAGGTGCTGGACCATAAATAGGGCCCTTTAACATGCCCAGCCGCTTTTGCCTTGCAAAGATAGTATGAAATTAACACTGCAATCTGCATTTTAGTTGCATTCATTTGCACTTATTCTCGACTTCGTTGTGCACTTGGGAGCTCTTTAGAGTCTTTTGACGACGCGGAGACAATACAGAGCCCTAAGCATTTCCATCAAAATTGGGGACAAGCCTAAAGGTGCCCACATAGGGTGGCTGCAGTGTTCGACGCGATACGCTGCTGGTAAGGTCGCCACTATTCACATATAAAGAATTGGTAGATAAATACTACTTTGACTAAGAGCGATTTTGAAATAAATTAACAAAGAAGTTAAATGCATATGTGTTTTCTTCTAAAATTCATTTATTTCATAATAATAACAGCGAATAAAGAAAGGTAGCGCGGAACAGTGGGCGCTCTCTTGTATGAAGGCGTTGTTTGCGTGCCCGAGAGACCCAGCACGATTTTAAATAACGTGGTGCAGTCGTATTTAAGTCCGAGTAAGGCGAATGCTCTGAGTGCGCCACTGTAATGGTCCCCATACGTTATAGGGCTAGACTTACAACCGGCCTGTCGGCTGGTGGTAGAAAATTAGGGGACTAAAGCCGGGGACCGCTGTCGAGCTGATGTTACGTTACTAACGCGATCCCAGGAACGCGCGCCGATTCACAGTTACGGTAAAAGTTGGCTTTTCTTCGTTTGTGGCTTGATATAATTTATAATATATATATATATACTATATTATTCTATTATATATATAAATTTACAATATTCGACAATTTTTTTAGGTTTATCCCAAGTATACCCCACCTCGGATTCTCTAGAAGAAGATTGATTGTTGCAGTGAGTGATTGGTTAGTGATACAGGGCACGTCAAGTGCTAAAGTCGTTAATCCTCGACGTTGGAACTTCGAGCCCCTAGAAGGTTCAGCAAACTGCCCCGTGACATAAGTCGCTGCTCTGAGAATCTTACTCGGTCTAGAAAAGGATCGTAAGAGCCGATGTGCGGAGGTGAAGACACCTCTGAGAAATTTCGTTTCGACTTTGTGGGACCCTGAGAGAGAGCTCTGTTGCAAGAGATGGACGAGCTAATTGAGTTTTGCGATTCGTTTCTGTTCAATTATTTGTTACCTGATCTGGAAATATTTTTTTCTTATTTTTTCCAACAAAAGGTGTTTGTGGATTCGGTGGCCGAGATCGCTAGGCCGTAGTGCCATAGCGTAATCTCGACCGAAGGAAGTGTGTTTCGGCTCCGACTCGCGCATGGTTATTGTGTTCGTTCCTTTCACTCTTATCATTATCATATATCCGGTATCATCATAGAAGTACATATGTTATCAAAGCAATAGTGGTCGTGACAATGACCTAGTATTGATGCACTTAAATAAACCAAACAAAATAACGTGTTTAATAATTGATAAAATATGATTTTAGCATTCTTAGCATTATATTATAGATGATTTCTCTTATATTCAATTTATGATTTGTTTGTGGATTTATTTTTAACATTCTGTAATTTTGACTATATTCTTTTTTTTGTAGTGGCTCAGAATATATACGTTTGTCGTTTGCTAAAGTCCTTGATTAACTTTTTCAAACAGATTGCATATTTTTTCACCGTTGTGTGAGAATGATAAGATCGTTAATTAGGATTATATTATAACACTTATGAAATTTTAGAATATATTAAGTGATATAGATTATGATACGCTTCAAAAGTTGATTTTTAATAGGTTTTGTTCTGCCTTAGTGACCTCATTTGGTTTTTTCAATGATGAGATGACAACTTGCATTATGTTACTCATCAATTAATACTTCTAAGAACAAGGGGGCTTCATATCTCTGATTTCATTCCCCTTTGCAATTCACTTGTTGATTTCATGTTCTTGTGTTTACTGTTGCAATGTGTATATTCCATTTCCAATATACTACAGTGCGTACATGTTAGGTTTACTCGCAGCGAATTTGAGTTATAATTCGACGCTGACACGCATTGATACAACATTTCACGTAATTGCAACACAGCTCCACCACTCCAATGGTATTCGCATAGAAAACTAGAAGTTGTTTTGTCTTTTACGTACTCGCGTCTATTGACGCAGAAAGGAATATAGGAGTGACTTGGACTAAGTACCACTAGATTTGCGTGTCGCGGAATGTAGTTGCCATTGTGTCCAGTCTGCAGCCATCTACTCCTCGCTGCCGTCACGGTCACCCCCAACCCCCCCACTTCCCTGGTGCGGATTCTGCCTTCATATCTCGCTCCGCCGTCCCCGCGCCTACGCCGCGCCGCGCCAAGACACGTTCGCACCGCCCGGTCGAAGCCATATGGTCCCCAGAGCCTGCCCGTTCGCTCCGGCGCCTGCGCGAACGCCGCCACCGACCGATCCCTACACTGACCCCACGCCTCTGCCATGCCGTGCACCACGGCCCTTGCGTCTCGCCCCCCACTTTTCACTACAACGGGTACAATTCATTGCTCAACTGCCTCGACGGACCAGTCCTCTCCGCTCCGCTTTAGATCTTTTTCCATTTTTCGCTTTAAGCACCTTCGATAATATAACGCCAAAGAGCTTACTACTTCTACTCGTGCTCCCTTCCCCGCGCCTCAACCCATATGTCTCATGCCCTCACCCTCCCTCTTTCAGCCGACAACGAAGCCCGTCACTACTTCCTGCTTCCTTGCTGCTCCTGCCCACACGGTGTCGCACCCTCGCACACACCAGAAGCTTGTCCGCAGGCGCACTTCCGCATTCCTAACGACAACCTAAGCATCTCGCCCGCGTCACTACATGGCTCACCACCACTGCCGTTGTCCCCTCCTCGCCACCAATGCCGTCCCCGCCACTCCCTTCTCCGGCGCTTGCCTCCTCCTGCCCCTGTCCACCCCCGCCGACCCCACGTACTGCATCCGGCCTTCATTGTCGCGCACCCACATCCAGCGCCTGTCTGCCGCCGCCGCAGCCGCTCCGGGCCACCCCGATCTCCCTCCGCTAATGATTGTTATCGATAACGTCGCAATAATGAGCGTAACGAGGCCTGGCGCCGGTCGCAAATGCGCTGTTAATTAGGTTTAGTTTGAAGCATGCGGTTCACACTCAGAGCACGCACTACGTGATATTAGTGTAGAGTAATTATCGACGGTTGAAAATAATATATATCTT